TCTAGAACTACTCTCTCTAGAACCACTCTAGAACCTACTCTCTCTAGAACTACTCTCTCTAGAACCACTCTCTCTAGAACCACTCTCTCTAGAACCTACTCTCTCTAGAACCACTCTCTCTAGAACCACTCATCTCTAGAACCACTCTCTCTAGAACCACTCTCTCTAGAACCACTCTCTCTAGAATACTCTCTCTAGAACTACTCTCTCTAGAACTACTCTCTCTAGAACCTACTCTCTCTAGAACCACTCTCTCTAGAACTAATCTCTCTAGAACTACTCTCTCTAGAACTACTCTCTCTAGAACCACTCTCTCTAGAACTAATCTCTCTAGAACCACTCTCTCTAGAACCACTCTCTCTAGAACCACTCTCTCTAGAACTACTCTCTCTAGAACCACTCTCTCTAGAACCACTCTCTCTAGAACTACTCTCTCTAGAACCACTCTCTCTAGAACCACTCCTCTAGAACCACTCTCTCTAGAACCACTCTCTCTAGAACCACTCTCTCTAGAACCACTCTCTCTAGAACCACTCTCTCTAGAACTACTCTCTCTAGAACTACTCTCTCTAGAACTACTCTCTCTAGAACTACTCTCTCTAGAACCTACTCTCTCTAGAACCACTCTCTCTAGAACCACTCTCTCTAGAACTACTCTCTCTAGAACCACTCTCTCTAGAACCTACTCTCTCTAGAACCACTCTCTCTAGAACCACTCTCTCTAGAACCACTCTCTCTAGAACCACTCTCTCTAGAACCACTCTCTCTAGAACCACTCTCTCTAGAACCACTCTCTCTAGAACCACTCTCTCTAGAACCACTCTCTCTAGAACCACTCTCTCTAGAACTACTCTCTCTAGAACCTACTCTCTCTAGAACCACTCTCTCTAGAACTACTCTCTCTAGAACTACTCTCTCTAGAACCACTCTCTCTAGAACCACTCTCTCTAGAACTACTCTCTCTAGAACCACTCTCTCTAGAACCACTCTCTCTAGAACCACTCTCTCTAGAACCACTCTCTCTAGAACCACTCTCTCTAGAACCACTCTCTCTAGAACTACTCTCTCTAGAACCACTCTCTCTAGAACTACTCTCTCTAGAACCTACTCTCTCTAGAACCACTCTCTCTAGAACCACTCTCTCTAGAAACTACTCTAGAACTACTCTCTCTAGAACCACTCTCTCTAGAACCACTCTCTCTAGAAACACTCTCTCTAGAACCACTCTCTCTAGAACTACTCTCTCTAGAACTACTCTCTCTAGAACCACTCTCTCTAGAACCTACTCTCTCTAGAACTACTCTCTCTAGAACTACTCTCTCTAGAACTACTCTCTCTAGAACCACTCTCTCTAGAACCACTCTCTCTAGAACCACTCTAGAACCACTCTCTCTAGAACTACTCTCTCTAGAACTACTCTCTCTAGAACCACTCTAGAACACTCTCTCTAGAACTACTCTCTCTATAACCACTCTCTCTAGAACCTACTCTCTCTAGAACCTACTCTCTCTAGAACCACTCTCTCTAGAACCACTCTCTCTAGAACCACTCTCTCTAGAACCACTCTCTCTAGAACCACTCTCTCTAGAACTACTCTCTCTAGAACCACTCTCTCTAGAACCTACTCTCTCTAGAACTACTCTCTCTAGAACTACTCTCTCTAGAACCACTCTCTAGAACTACTCTCTCTAGAACACTCTCTCTAGAACCACTCTCTCTAGAACTACTCTCTCTAGAACTACTCTCTCTAGAACCACTCTCTCTAGAACCACTCTCTAGAACTACTCTCTCTAGAACTACCTCTAGAACTACTCTCTCTAGAACTACTCTCTCTAGAACCACTCTAGAACCACTCTCTCTAGAACCACTCTCTCTAGAACCACTCTCTCTAGAACCACTCTCTCTAGAACCACTCTCTCTAGAACTACTCTAGAACTACTCTCTCTAGAACCACTCTCTCTAGAACCACTCTCTCTAGAACTACTCTCTCTAGAACCACTCTAGAACCACTCTAGAACCACTCTCTCTAGAACCACTCTCTCTAGAACCACTCTCTCTAGAACCACTCTAGAACTACTCTCTCTAGAACCACTCTCTCTAGAACCACTCTCTCTAGAACTACTCTCTCTAGAACCACTCTCTCTAGAACTACTCTCTCTAGAACTACTCTCTCTAGAACCACTCTCTCTAGAACCACTCTCTCTAGAACCACTCTCTCTAGAACCACTCTCTCTAGAACCACTCTCTCTAGAACTACTCTCTCTAGAACTACTCTCTCTAGAACCACTCTCTCTAGAACCACTCTCTCTAGAACTACTCTCTCTAGAACCACTCTAGAACCACTCTCTCTAGAACCACTCTCTCTAGAACCACTCTAGAACTACTCTCTCTAGAACCACTCTCTCTAGAACCACTCTCTCTAGAACCACTCTCTCTAGAACCACTCTCTAGAACTACTCTCTCTAGAACCACTCTAGAACCACTCTCTCTAGAACCACTCTCTCTAGAACTACTCTCTCTAGAACCACTCTCTCTAGAACTACTCTCTCTAGAACCACTCTCTCTAGAACCACTCTAGAACCACTCTCTCTAGAACCACTCTCTCTAGAACCACTCTCTCTAGAACCACTCTCTCTAGAACCACTCTCTCTAGAACCACTCTCTCTAGAACCACTCTCTCTAGAACCACTCTCTCTAGAACCACTCTCTCTAGAACTACTCTCTCTAGAACTACTCTCTCTAGAACCACTCTCTCTAGAACTACTCTCTCTAGAACCACTCTAGAACCACTCTCTCTAGAACCACTCTAGAACCACTCTCTCTAGAACCACTCTCTCTAGAACCACTCTCTCTAGAACCACTCTCTCTAGAACCACTCTCTCTAGAACCACTCTCTCTAGAACCACTCTCTCTAGAACTACTCTCTCTAGAACCACTCTCTCTAGAACTACTCTCTCTAGAACCACTCTAGAACTACTCTCTCTAGAAACACTCTCTCTAGAACCACTCTCTCTAGAACTACTCTCTCTAGAACCACTCTCTCTAGAACTACTCTCTCTAGAACCACTCTCTCTAGAACCACTCTCTCTAGAACCACTCTCTCTAGAACCACTCTCTCTAGAACCACTCTCTCTAGAACTACTCTCTCTAGAACTACTCTCTCTAGAACCACTCTCTCTAGAACCACTCTCTCTAGAACCACTCTCTCTAGAACCACTCTCTCTAGAACCACTCTCTCTAGAACCACTCTCTCTAGAACCACTCTCTCTAGAACTACTCTAGAACTACTCTCTCTAGAACCACTCTCTCTAGAACCACTCTCTCTAGAACCACTCTAGAACTACTCTCTCTAGAACCACTCTCTCTAGAACCACTCTCTCTAGAACCACTCTCTCTAGAACTACTCTCTCTAGAACCACTCTCTCTAGAACCACTCTCTCTAGAACCTACTCTCTCTAGAACCTACTCTCTCTAGAACCACTCTCTCTAGAACCACTCTCTCTAGAACTACTCTCTCTAGAACCACTCTCTCTAGAACCACTCTCTCTAGAACCACTCTCTCTAGAACCACTCTCTCTAGAACCACTCTCTCTAGAACTACTCTCTCTAGAAACCACTCTCTCTAGAACACTCTCTCTAGAACCACTCTCTCTAGAACCACTCTAGAAACCTACTCTCTCTAGAACTACTCTCTCTAGAACCTACTCTCTCTAGAACCACTCTCTCTAGAACTACTCTCTCTAGAACCACTCTCTCTAGAACTACTCTCTCTAGAACTACTCTCTCTAGAACACTCTCTCTAGAACCACTCTCTCTAGAACTACTCTCTCTAGAACCACTCTCTCTAGAACCTACTCTCTCTAGAACCACTCTCTCTAGAACTACTCTCTCTAGAACCACTCTCTCTAGAACCACTCTCTCTAGAACCACTCTCTCTAGAACCACTCTCTCTAGAACCACTCTCTCTAGAACCACTCTCTCTAGAACCACTCTCTCTAGAACCACTCTCTCTAGAACCACTCTCTCTAGAACCACTCTCTCTAGAACCACTCTCTCTAGAACTACTCTCTCTAGAACCACTCTAGAACCACTCTCTCTAGAACCACTCTCTCTAGAACCACTCTCTCTAGAACCACTCTCTCTAGAACTACTCTCTCTAGAACTACTCTCTCTAGAACCACTCTCTCTAGAACCACTCTAGAACTACTCTCTCTAGAACTACTCTCTCTAGAACCACTCTCTCTAGAACCACTCTAGAACTACTCTCTCTAGAACCACTCTCTCTAGAACCACTCTCTCTAGAACTACTCTCTCTAGAACTACTCTCTCTAGAACTACTCTCTCTAGAACCACTCTCTCTAGAACTACTCTCTCTAGAACCACTCTCTCTAGAACCACTCTCTCTAGAACCACTCTAGAACTACTCTCTCTAGAACCACTCTCTCTAGAACCACTCTCTCTAGAACCACTCTCTCTAGAACTACTCTCTCTAGAACCACTCTCTCTAGAACCACTCTAGAACTACTCTCTCTAGAACCACTCTCTCTAGAACTACTCTCTCTAGAACTACTCTCTCTAGAACTACTCTCTCTAGAACTACTCTCTAGAACTACTCTCTCTAGAACCACTCTCTCTAGAACCACTCTCTCTAGAACCACTCTCTCTAGAACCACTCTCTCTAGAACCACTCTCTCTAGAACCACTCTCTCTAGAACCACTCTCTCTAGAACCACTCTCTCTAGAACTACTCTCTCTAGAACCACTCTCTCTAGAACCACTCTCTCTAGAACCACTCTAGAACCACTCTCTCTAGAACCACTCTCTCTAGAACTACTCTCTCTAGAACCACTCTAGAACCACTCTCTCTAGAACCACTCTCTCTAGAACTACTCTCTAGAACTACTCTCTCTAGAACCACTCTCTCTAGAACCACTCTCTCTAGAACCACTCTAGAACCACTCTCTCTAGAACCACTCTGTGTGTGTGAGCGGTGAGGATACTGGGCTCCTTGCGATCCTCATTGATGACCACGAGGTCCGTGAATCCCCGTGCCACGCACTGTCGAACTATTTTCTTGAGTGCCAGGCCACGTCGGTAGTAGACTTGGGCCGAGGGGGGTTCTAGAACCACTCTTTAGAACTACTCTAGAACTACTCTCTCTAGAACCACTCTCTCTAGAACTACTCTCTGTGCGTGTGAGCGGTGAGGATACTGGGCTCCTTGCGATCCTCATTGATGACCACGAGGTCCGTGAATCCCCGTGCCACGCACTGTGGAACTATTTTCTTGAGTGCCAGGCCACGTCGGTAGTAGACTTGGGCCGAGGGGGGTTCTAGAACCACTCTTTAGAACTACTCTAGAACCACTCTCTCTAGAACCACTCTCTCTAGAACTACTCTCTCTAGAACCACTCTCTCTAGAACCACTCTCTCTAGAACTACTCTCTCTAGAACCACTCTCTCTAGAACTACTCTCTCTAGAACCACTCTCTCTAGAACTACTCTCTCTAGAACTACTCTCTCTAGAACCACTCTCTCTAGAACCACTCTCTCTAGAACCACTCTCTCTAGAACCACTCTAGAACCACTCTAGAACCACTCTCTCTAGAACTACTCTCTCTAGAACTACTCTCTCTAGAACTACTCTCTCTAGAACTACTCTCTCTAGAACTACTCTCTCTAGAACCACTCTCTCTAGAACCACTCTCTCTAGAACTACTCTCTCTAGAACCACTCTCTCTAGAACTACTCTCTCTAGAACTACTCTCTCTAGAACTACTCTCTCTAGAAACACTCTAGAACTACTCTCTCTAGAACTACTCTCTCTAGAACCACTCTCTCTAGAACCACTCTCTCTAGAACCACTCTCTCTAGAACTACTCTCTCTAGAACCACTCTCTCTAGAACCACTCTAGAACCACTCTCTCTAGAACCACTCTCTCTAGAACCACTCTCTCTAGAACCACTCTCTCTAGAACTACTCTCTCTAGAACTACTCTCTCTAGAACCACTCTCTCTAGAACCACTCTAGAACCACTCTCTCTAGAACCACTCTCTCTAGAACCACTCTCTCTAGAACCACTCTCTCTAGAACTACTCTCTCTAGAACCACTCTCTCTAGAACCACTCTCTCTAGAACTACTCTCTCTAGAACCACTCTCTCTAGAACTACTCTAGAACCACTCTAGAACCACTCTCTCTAGAACCACTCTCTCTAGAACTACTCTCTCTAGAACTACTCTCTCTAGAACTACTCTCTCTAGAACCACTCTCTCTAGAACCACTCTCTCTAGAACTACTCTCTCTAGAACCACTCTCTCTAGAACCACTCTCTCTAGAACTACTCTCTCTAGAACCACTCTAGAACCACTCTCTCTAGAACCACTCTCTCTAGAACTACTCTCTCTAGAACCACTCTCTCTAGAACTACTCTCTCTAGAACCACTCTCTCTAGAACCACTCTCTCTAGAACTACTCTCTCTAGAACCACTCTCTCTAGAACTACTCTCTCTAGAACTACTCTCTCTAGAACCACTCTCTCTAGAACTACTCTCTCTAGAACTACTCTCTCTAGAACTACTCTCTCTAGAACCACTCTCTCTAGAACTACTCTCTCTAGAACTACTCTCTCTAGAACTACTCTAGAACTACTCTCTCTAGAACCACTCTCTCTAGAACCACTCTCTCTAGAACCACTCTCTCTATAACCACTCTAGAACTACTCTCTCTAGAACCACTCTCTCTAGAACCACTCTCTCTATAACCACTCTCTCTAGAACCACTCTCTCTAGAACCACTCTCTCTAGAACTACTCTCTCTAGAACCACTCTCTCTAGAACCACTCTCTCTAGAACTACTCTCTCTAGAACCACTCTAGAACCACTCTCTCTAGAACCACTCTCTCTAGAACTACTCTCTCTAGAACCACTCTCTCTAGAACTACTCTCTCTAGAACCACTCTCTCTAGAACTACTCTCTCTAGAACTACTCTCTCTAGAAACACTCTCTCTAGAACCACTCTAGAACCACTCTCTCTAGAACCACTCTCTCTGTGCGTGTGAGCGGTGAGGATACTGGGCTCCTTGCGATCCTCATTGATGACCACGAGGTCCGTGAATCCCCGTGCCACGCACTGTGGAACTATTTTCTTGAGTGCCAGGCCACGTCGGTAGTAGACTTGGGCCGAGGGGAGTTCTAGAACCACTCTTTAGAACCACTCTCTCTAGAACCACTCTCTCTAGAACCACTCTAGAACCACTCTAGAACCACTCTCTCTAGAACCACTCTCTGTGTGTGTGAGCGGTGAGGATACTGGGCTCCTTGCGATCCTCATTGATGACCACGAGGTCCGTGAATCCCCGTGCCACGCACTGTGGAACTATTTTCTTGAGTGCCAGGCCACGTCGGTAGTAGACTTGGGCCGAGGGGGGTTCTAGAACCACTCTTTAGAACTACTCTAGAACCACTCTCTCTAGAACCACTCTGTGCGTGTGAGCGGTGAGGATACTGGGCTCCTTGCGATCCTCATTGATGACCACGAGGTCCGTGAATCCCCGTGCCACGCACTGTCGAACTATTTTCTTGAGTGCCAGGCCACGTCGGTAGTAGACTTGGGCCGAGGGGGGTTCTAGAACCACTCTTTAGAACCACTCTAGAACTACTCTCTCTAGAAACACTCTCTCTAGAACCACTCTAGAACTACTCTCTCTAGAACTACTCTCTCTAGAACTACTCTCTCTAGAACCACTCTCTCTAGAACCACTCACTCTAGAACTACTCTCTCTAGAACTACTCTCTCTAGAACTACTCTCTCTAGAACTACTCTCTCTAGAACTACTCTCTCTAGAACCACTCTAGAACCACTCTAGAACCACTCTCTCTAGAACCACTCTCTCTAGAACCACTCTCTCTAGAACTACTCTCTCTAGAACTACTCTCTCTAGAACCACTCTAGAACCACTCTAGAACCACTCTCTCTAGAACCACTCTCTGTGTGTGTGAGCGGTGAGGATACTGGGCTCCTTGCGATCCTCATTGATGACCACGAGGTCCGTGAATCCCCGTGCCACGCACTGTGGAACTATTTTCTTGAGTGCCAGGCCACGTCGGTAGTAGACTTGGGCCGAGGGGGGTTCTAGAACCACTCTTTAGAACTACTCTAGAACTACTCTCTCTAGAACCACTCTCTCTAGAACTACTCTCTCTAGAACCACTCTCTCTAGAACCACTCTCTCTAGAACCACTCTCTCTAGAACTACTCTCTCTAGAACTACTCTCTCTAGAACCACTCTCTCTAGAACCACTCTCTCTAGAACCACTCTAGAACCACTCTCTCTAGAACCACTCTCTCTAGAACCACTCTCTCTAGAACTACTCTCTCTAGAACCACTCTAGAACTACTCTCTCTAGAACCACTCACTCTAGAACTACTCTCTCTAGAACCACTCTCTCTAGAACCACTCTCTCTAGAACTACTCTCTCTAGAACCACTCTAGAACCACTCTCTCTAGAACCACTCTCTGTGTGCGTGTGAGCGGTGAGGATACTGGGCTCCTTGCGATCCTCATTGATGACCACGAGGTCCGTGAATCCCCGTGCCACGCACTGTCGAACTATTTTCTTGAGTGCCAGGCCACGTCGGTAGTAGACTTGGGCCGAGGGGAGCGAGGCCGCCAAATCCTCGCACAGACGAACCGTCTTCTGTGGGCGTGACACACGGAGCGGTGGGGGTGGTGAGTGGTGAGTGGGTGGGTGGTGAGTGGGTGGTGGTGAGTGGGTGGTGAGTGGGGGGTGGTGAGTGGGTGGGGGGTGGTGAGTGGGTGGTGAGTGGGTGGTGGGCGTGAGACACGGAGCGGTGGGGGTGGTGGTGAGTGGGTGGTGAGGGGGTGGTGAGTGGGTGGTGAGTGGGTGGTGAGTGGGTGGTGAGTGGGTGGTGGGCGTGAGACAAGGAGCGGTGATGGTGGTGAGTGGGTGGTGGTGGTGGTGGTGATGGTGAGTGGGTGGTGAGTGGGGGGTGGTGAGTGGGTGGTGGTGGTGAGTGGGTGGTGGTGGTGGTGGTGATGGTGAGTGGGTGGTGAGTGGGGGGTGGTGAGTGGGTGGTGGTGGTGAGTGGGTGGTGAGTGGGTGGTGGTGAGTGGGTGGTGGTGAGTGGGTGGTGAGTGGGTGGTGGTGAGTGGGTGGTGGTGAGTGGGTGGGTGGTGAGTGGGTGGGTGGTGAGTGGGTGGTGAGTGGGTGGTGGTGAGTGGGTGGTGGTGAGTGGGTGGTGAGTGGGTGGTGGTGAGTGGGTGGTGAGTGGGTGGTGGTGAGTGGGTGGTGGTGAGTGGGTGGTGAGTGGGTGGTGGTGAGTGGGTGGTGGTGAGTGGGTGGGTGGTGAGTGGGTGGTGGGCGTGAGACACGGAGCAGTGGGGGTGGTGAGTGGTGAGTGGGGGGTGGTGAGTGGGTGGTGAGTGGGGTGGTGAGTGGTGAGTGGGTGGTGGTGAGTGGGTGGTGAGTGGGTGGGGGGTGGTGAGTGGGTGGTGAGTGGGTGGTGGGCGTGAGACACGGAGCGGTGGGGGTGGTGAGTGGTGAGTGGGGGGTGGTGAGTGGGTGGTGGTGAGTGGGTGGTGAGTGGGTGGTGGTGAGTGGGTGGTGGTGAGTGGGTGGGTGGTGAGTGGGTGGTGAGTGGGTGGTGGGCGTGAGACACGGAGCAGTGATGGTGGTGGTGGTGAGTGGGTGGTGAGTGGGTGGTGACTGGGGGTGGTGGTGATGGTGAGTGGTGGTGAGTGGGTGGTGAGTGGGTGGTGGTGAGTGTGTGGTGAGTGGGTGGTGAGTGGGTGGTGGTGGTGATGGTGAGTGGGTGGTGGTGAGTGGGTGGTGAGTGGGTGGTGGTGAGTGGGGGTGGTGAGTGGGTGGTGAGTGGGTGGTGAGTGGGTGGTGGTGAGTGAGTGGTGAGTGGGTGGTGAGTGGGTGGTGGTGGTGATGGTGGTGATGGTGGTGGTGATGGTGGTGATGGTGGTGATGGTGAGTGGGTGGTGGTGGTGGGGGTGGTGAGTGGGTGGTGGTGGTGGGGGTGGTGAGTGGGGGGTGAGTGGGTGGTGGTGGTGGTGAGTGGGTGGGTGGTGAGTGGGTGGTGAGTGGGTGGGTGGTGAGTGGGTGGTGAGTGGGCGGTGAGTGGGTGGTGAGTGGGTGGGTGGTGAGTGGGTGGTGGTGAGTGAGTGGTGAGTGGGTGGTGAGTGGGCGGTAAGTGGGTGGTGGTGAGTGGGTGGTGGTGAGTGAGTGGTGAGTGGGTGGTGGTGAGTGGGTGGTGAGTGGGCGGTGAGTGGGTGGTGAGTGGGTGGTGGTGAGTGGGTGGTGAGTGGGTGGTGGTGAGTGGGTGGTGGTGAGTGGTGGTGGGCGTGAGACACGGAGCGGTGGTGGTGGTGAGTGGTGGGGGTGAGTGGGTGGTGAGTGGGTGGTGAGTGGGGGTGATGGTGGTGGTGATGGTGGGGGTGGTGGTGAGTGGGTGGGGGTGAGTGGTGGTGAGTGGTTGGTGAGTGGGTGGTGGTGAGTGGGGGGTGGTGAGTGGGTGGTGGTGGTGATGGTGGTGATGATTGTGATGATGATGGTGATGATTGTGATGATTGTGATGCTGATTGTGATGATTTTGATGAGGATGATTGTGATGATGATGGTGATGATGATTGTGATGATGATTGTGATGCTGAGTGTGATGATGATTTTGATGATGAGGATGATTGTGATGATGGTGATGATTGTGATGATGATTGTGATGATGATTGTGATGATGAGGATGATTGTGATGATGATTGTGATGATGATTGTGATGATGATTGTGATGGTGATTGTGATGATTGTGATGATGATTGTGATGATTGTGATGATGATTGTGATGATTGTGATGATGATTGTGATGGTTACCCCACGTGGCCGATCCGAGGTTGTGATGAGGACTCTGGCATCAGTCTCCCGCTTGAAGTATTCAGCAAACTCATCGCTCAGCTGGTCAGCCTCCACCTGCAGAACAGCACAGGTAGTACCATCATCATCACTAGTACCATCATCACTAGTAGTAGTACCATCACTAGTAGTAGTACCATCAGTAGTAGTAGTACCATCATCACTAGTAGTAGTACCATCATCACTAATAGTAGTATCATCACTAGTATCATCATCAGTAGTACCATCATCACTAGTACCATCATCACTAGTAGTAGTACCATCATCATCACTAGTACCACCATCATCACTAGTAGTAGTACCATCATCATCACTAGTAGTACCACCATCATCACTAGTACCATCATCACTAGTAGTAGTACCATCATCATCACTAGTAGTAGTACCATCATCACTAGTACCATCATCATCACTAGTAGTACCACCATCATCACTAGTAGTAGTACCATCATCACTAGTAGTAGTACCATCATCATCACTAGTAGTACCACCATCATCACTAGTACCATCATCACTAGTAGTAGTACCATCATCATCACTAGTAGTAGTACCATCATCATCACTAGTATCATCATCACTAGTAGTAGTACCATCATCATCACTAGTAGTAGTACCACCATCACTAGTAGTAGTACCATCAGTAGTAGTAGTACCATCATCACTAGTAGTAGTACCATCATCACTAATAGTAGTATCATCACTAGTATCATCATCAGTAGTACCATCATCACTAGTACCATCATCACTAGTAGTAGTACCATCATCATCACTAGTACCACCATCATCACTAGTAGTAGTACCATCATCATCACTAGTAGTACCACCATCATCACTAGTACCATCATCACTAGTAGTAGTACCATCATCATCACTAGTAGTAGTACCATCATCACTAGTAGTAGTACCATCATCATCACTAGTAGTAGTACCATCATCATCACTAGTACCATCATCAGTAGTACCATCATCACTAGTAGTAGTACCATCATCATCACTAGTTGTACCATCAGTAGTAGTACCATCAGTAGTAGTACCATCAGTAGTAGTATCATCATCACTAGTACCATCATCATCACTAGTACCATCATCATCACTAGTACCATCATCACTAGTAGTAGTACCATCATCATCACTAGTACCACCATCATCACTAGTAGTAGTACCATCATCATCACTAGTAGTACCACCATCATCACTAGTACCATCATCACTAGTAGTAGTACCATCATCATCACTAGTAGTAGTACCATCATCACTAGTAGTAGTACCATCATCATCACTAGTAGTAGTACCATCATCATCACTAGTACCATCATCAGTAGTACCATCATCACTAGTAGTAGTACCATCATCATCACTAGTTGTACCATCAGTAGTAGTACCATCAGTAGTAGTACCATCAGTAGTAGTATCATCATCACTAGTACCATCATCATCACTAGTACCATCATCATCACTAGTACCATCATCAGTAGTACCATCATCACTAGTAGTAGTACCATCATCATCACTAGTAGTAGTACCATCATCATCACTAGTAGTAGTACCATCATCACTAGTAGTACCATCATCATCACTAGTAGTGCCATCAGTAGTAGTAGTATCATCATCACTAGTATCATCAGTAGTATCATCATCAGTAGTATCATCATCACTAGTATCATCATCACTAGTAGTAGTATCATCACTAGTAGTACCACCATCATCACTAGTAGAAGTACCATCGGTAGTAGTACCATCATCATCAGTAGTACCATCATCACTAGTAGTAGTACCATCATCATCACTAGTAGTAGTACCATCATCATCACTGGTATCATCATCACTAGTACCATCATCACTAGTAGTAGTACCATCGGTAGTAGTACCATCATCATCACTAGTAGTAGTACCATCATCATCACTAGTACCATCATCATCACTAGTAGTAGTACCATCATCATCACTAGTACCATCATCAGTAGTACCATCATCACTAGTAGTAGTACCATCATCATCACTAGTACCATCACTAGTAGTAGTACCATCATCATCACTAGTAGTAGTACCATCATCACTAGTAGTACCATCATCATCAGTAGTATCATCATCACTAGTAGTAGTACCATCAGTAGAAGTAGTATCATCACTAGTATCATCATCAGTAGTATCATCATCATCACTAGTATCATCATCACTAGTAGTAGTACCATCATCATCACTAGTACCATCATCACTAGTAGTAGTACCATCATCACTAGTAGTAGTACCATCATCACTAGTAGTAGTACCATCATCATCACTAGTAGTAGTACCATCATCACTAGTAGTAGTACCATCATCACTAGTAGTAGTACCATCATCACTAGTAGTAGTACCATCATCACTAGTAGTAGTACCATCATCATCACTAGTAGTAGTACCATCATCATCACTAGTACCATCATCATCACTAGTACCATCATCATCACTAGTAGTAGTACCATCAGTAGAAGTAGTATCATCACTAGTATCATCATCAGTACCATCATCATCACTAGTATCATCATCACTAGTAGTAGTACCATCATCATCACTAGTAGTAGTACCATCATCATCACTAGTAGTAGTACCATCATCACTAGTAGTACCAATAGTAGTAGTACCATCAGTAGTACCATCATCATCACTAGTAGTAGTACCATCATCACTAGTAGTAGTACCATCATCATCACTAGTAGTAGTACCATCATCACTAGTACCATCAGTAGTAGTAGTACCATCATCACTAGTAGTAGTACCATCATCATCACTAGTAGTACCATCAGTAGTAGTACCATCAGTAGTAGTATCATCATCACTAGTACCATCATCATCACTAGTAGTAGTACCATCATCATCACTAGTAGTAGTACCATCAGTAGTAGTAGTATCATCACTAGTATCATCATCAGTAGTATCATCATCACTAGTATCATCATCACTAGTATCATCATCATCACTAGTATCATCATCATCATCACTAGTATCATCATCACTAGTATCATCATCATCACCATCACCACCACCATCACCATCATCTACCACTTTCACCACCACCACCATCATCACCACCACCATCACCACCATCCACAACCACCACCATCACCACCATCACCACCACCATCACCACCACCATCACCACCACCATCACCACCACCATCACTACCACCACCACCATCACTACCACCACCACCATCACCACCACCACCATCACCACCACCACCATCACCATCATCACCATCATCACCACCACCATCACCACCACCACCATCACCACCATCGCCACCACCACCATCATCATCACCACCACCATCACCACCACCATCACCACCACCATCACCACCACCATCACCACCACCACCACCATCATCACCACCATCACCACCACCATCACCACCACCACCATCACCACCATCATCATCATCACCACCACCACCACCATCACCACCACCACCATCACCACCACCACCACCATCATCATCACCACCACCACCACCATCACCACCACCATCACCACCATCACCACCACCACCATCACCACCACCATCACCATCACCACCACCACCGTCATCACCACCATCACCACCACCACCATCACCACCACCATCACCACCATCATCATCATCACCATCACCACCACCACCATCACCACCACCACCATCATCACCACCATCACCACCATCACCATCACCACCATCACCACCACCACCATCACCACCACCACCACCATCACCACCACCATCACCACCATCATCACCACCACCACCACCATCACCACCACCACCATCACCACCACCACCATCACCACCACCATCACCACCACCATCATCACCACCACCATCACCACCACCACCATCACCACCATCACCACCACCATCACCACCACCACCATCACCACCACCACCATCACCACCATCACCATCATCACCACCACCATCACCACCATCACCACCACCACCATCACCACCACCATCACCACCATCACCACCACCATCACCACCATCACCACCATCACCATCACCACCACCACCATCACCACCACCATCACCACCATCACCACCACCATCACCACCACCATCACCACCACCATCACCACCACCATCATCACCACCACCCTTACCTCCTCATCCCCAGTTGTTACTGTGGTCTCGTCTGGAAGTCGCTGATTCTCCAAAGTCTTGGGGACTTCTTTTGGAGGTGCCTGGAATTCATCATCAGTAGAAGTATCCACATCATCATCAGTAGTAGTATCCGAGTGAGTCTGAGTGAGTGAGTGGTGAGTGAGTGGTGAGTGAGTGGTGAGTGAGTGGTGAGTGAGTGAGTGGTGAGTGAGTGGTGAGTGAGTGAGTGGTGAGTGAGTAAGTGGTGAGTGAGTGGTGAGTGAGTGGTGAGTGAGTGGTGAGTTAGTGAGTGGTGAGTGAGTGGTGAGTGAGTGGTGAGTGAGTGAGTGGTGAGTGAGTGAGTGGTGAGTGAGTGGTGAGTGAGTAAGTGGTGAGTGAGTGGTGAGTGAGTGAGTGGTGATTGAGTGAGTGGTGAGTGAGTGGTGAGTGAGTGAGTGGTGAGTGAGTGGTGAGTGAGTGGTGAGTGGGTGAGTGAGTGGTGAGTGAGTGGTGAGTGAGTGGGTGAGTGAGTGGTGAGTGAGTGGTGAGTGAGTGGTGAGTGAGTGGTGAGTGAGTGGTGAGTGAGTGGTGAGTAAGTGGTGAGTGAGTGGTGAGTGGTGAGTGAGTGGTGAGTGAGTGGTGAGTAAGTGGTGAGTAAGTGGTGAGTGAGCGGTGAGTGAGTGAGTGGTGAGTGAGTGGTGAGTGAGTGGTGAGTGGGTGAGTGAGTGGGTGAGTGAGTGGGTGAGTGAGTGGTGAGTGAGTGGTGAGTGAGTGGTGAGTGAGTGGTGAGTGAGTGGTGAGTGGTGAGTGAGTGGTGAGTGAGTGGTGAGTGAGTGGTGAGTGGTGAGTGAGTGAGTGAGTGAGTGAGTGAGTGACTGAGTGAGTGAGTGACTGAGTGAGTGAGTGGTGAGTGAGTGGTGAGTGAGTGGTGAGTGACTGAGTGAGTGGTGAGTGAGTGGTGAGTGAGTGAGTGGTGAGTGAGTGGTGAGTGGGTGAGTGAGTGGTGAGTAAGTGGTGAGTTACTTTATCACCCAACGCTCTGCGTTCAGCTCTACGTTGTTTCTTTCGAGCAAGCCACTCCTGCAAATACACAAACAGAATCATCATCATCAGTAGTATCATCATCATCAGTAGTAGTATCATCATCACCAGTAGTATCATCATCATCAGTAGTATCATCAGTAGTAGTATCATCACCAGTATAATCATCATCAGTATCATCATCATCAGTATCATCATCACCACCACCGCCTTCACCTTTCGCTTGGCCACTTTCTGCTTAGTGTACGCCTCGTGTCTCCGCTGCCTGTTCTTGATCTCGGACACACTGAACGATGGTGGGAAATGGATGACACCACCTCCACCACCATCACCACCACCTCCACCACCATCATCACCACCACCTCCACCACCACCATCACCACCACCTCCACCACCACCATCACCACCACCTCCACCACCACCATCACCACCACCAATGTCTCGTGGCTTTTTGCCGGGTCGAGCTTTCTTTCCAGATCTTGCACCCAACTTGGCAATCCGCTTCATCTTCGTAGCTGATGCATCATCATCATCAGCTGCATCATCATCATCAGCTGCATCATCACCATCATCATCAGCTGCTGCATCATCATCATCAGCTGCAGCATCACCATCAGAAGTTGCACCACCACCACCGTCAGCAGCAGCTATCAAAGTCTTGACGTCACCACCACCATCATCACCACCACCACCATCACCACCACCATCACCACCATCATCATCATCTCCATCCTTCATCACCACCACCTGTTTCACCTCTTCCACCACCCCACCTCGTCGCCTCTTCATCGAGGTCCCGGCAGCACCACCACCACTACCACTACCACCACCACCACTACTACCACTACTAACACCACCACTACCACCACGACTCCCACCACCACCACCACTACTAACACCAACACCACTACCACCACCACCACGACTCCCACCACCACCACCACTACTAACACCACCACCACCACTACCACCACCACTACTACTAACACCACCACTACCACCACCACTACCAACACGACTCCTCCTCCTACTGATTCTCTTCCTCACTCGCTTCGCCTGGTCGCAGACACCTCGTCGCTCGGACTCCATCACTCACCACCTCCTCCTCCTAGTCACTACCACCACCTCCACCTCCTAGTCACTACCACCACCTCTTCCTAGTCACTACCACCACCTCCTCCTAGTCACTACCACCACCTCCTCCTAGTCACTACCACCACCACCTCCTCCTAGTCACTACCAGCACCACCACCTCCTCCTCCTCCTAGTCACTACCACCACCTCCTCCTCCTAGTCACTACCACCACCACCTCTTCCTAGTCACTACCAGCACCACCACCTCCTCCTCCTCCTAGTCACTACCACCACCTCCTCCTCCTAGTCACTACCACCACCACCTCCTCCTAGTCACTACCAGCACCACCAACACCTCTTTACCACCACCAACTCTTCACCACCACCTCTTCACCACCACCACCACCACCTCTTCACCACCACTTCACCACCACTTCACCACCACCTCTTCACCACCACCAACACCTCGTCACCAACACCTCTTCACCACCACCTCTTCACCACCACCAACACCACCACTTCACCAACACCACCACCACCACTTCACCACCACCACCACCACCTCTTCACCACCACCAACACCACCACCACCACCACCTCTTCACCACCACCACCAACACCACTTCACCACCACCTCTTCACCACCACCACCAACACCACTTCACCACCACCTCTTCACCACCACCACCAACACCACTTCACCACCACCTCTTCACCACCACCACCACCACCACTTCACCACCACCTCTTCACCACCACCAACACCACCACCACCACCACCTCTTCACCACCACCACCAACACCACTTCACCACCACCTCTTCACCACCACCAACACCACCACTTCACCACCACCTCTTCACCACCACCACCACCACCACTTCACCACCACCTCTTCACCACCACCAACACCACCACCACCACCACCTCTTCACCACCACCACCAACACCACTTCACCACCACCTCTTCACCACCACCACCAACACCACTTCACCACCACCACCACCACCACCTCTTCACCACCACCACCAACACCACTTCACCACCACCAACACCACCAACACCACCACCACCACCACCTCTTCACCACCACCACCAACACCACTTCACCACCACCAACACCACCACCACCACCACCTCTTCACCACCACCACCAACACCACTTCACCACCACCTCTTCACCACCACCACCAACACCACTTCACCACCACCTCTTCACCACCACCACCAACACCACTTCACCACCACCTCTTCACCACCACCACTTCACCACCACCACCACCTCTTCACCACCACCTCTTCACCAACACCTCGTCTTCACCACCACCACCTCTTCACCACCAGCGCCCCACGTGGTCGTCGTGTGGCGCTAGAAGCCTAAGGACCCCACCAGGCCGGAAGTGAACGGTGGGGCGGAAGTGCGCGAGAGGGGGGGATTGTGGGAAGACTCCGCCCACAATCTTCAACTAGCAAAGCCCCCCATTGGCTGCTCCGGTCGAGCTGGCCACGCCCTTCGACGGAAGGGGGGGGGGCGCCCCGCGTTCTGATTGGCTGAGGTTGGATGGCCCAGGGGCGGGGGAGCTAGATAATTAAAGGCGGGGGGGGGGGGTAATGGGGCCGGACGTGACGTCATCGCGGTGTTGTAAGACGAGTCGACGTCCTGGGGGGGCGGATTGAAGTGATGACGTCATCCATGTCAATCCATTGCCGGGTGAAAGAGAACCTAACGTCATCAGGGTCAAGGCATTGAGCTGATGATGTGACGCCTTCGCAGGTCAATGCATTGCGGCGGCGGTGTTGTTCTAAGACGTGACGTCATGGGTGGGCATTGAAGTGATGACGTCAACAAGATCAATACGTCGTTGGGATAAGATGGCGTGACGTCATCAGGGTCAAGGCGTTTAGCTTATGAGGTGACGTCATCGCAGCGTTGTAAAATTACGTTTAGGGAGGCGGATGACGTGACGTCATCAGGGGGGTCAAAGCACTGAGGTGATGACGTCATGCACGTCAATGCATTGGCTAGGTAAGATGTGACGTCTTCAGGGATAATGCCTGGCACTGCAGCAGTCAACCAATAGACACCTGCAGGGTCTGTCACGTGACCACTCACCACTACACTCACCACACTCACCACTCACTCACCACGCTCACTCACCACTCACTCACCACGCTCACTCACCACACTCACCACCACTCACCACACACCCACCACACTCACCACTCACTCACCACACACTCACCACCACACTCACTCACCACACTCACTCACCACACTCACCACTCACTCACCACTACACTCACCACTCACTCACCACTACACTCACCACACTCACCACACTCACCACCCACACACTCACCACACTCACTCACCACTACACTCACCACACTCACCACCACACACCACACTCACTCACCACACTCACTCACCACACACTCACCACCACACACCACACTCACTCACCACACTCACCACCACTCACCACACACCCACCACACTCACCACTCACTCACCACACTCACCACCACTCACCACACACCCACCACACTCACCACTCACTCACCACACACTCACCACCACACTCACCACCACACCCACACACCACACACACTCACCACACTCACTTACCACTCACTCACCACCACACTCACTCACCACACACACCACACACTCACCACACACTCACCACCACACACTCACCACACACTCACCACACTCACCACCACACACTCACCACCACTCACTCACCACACACTCACCACACACTCACTCACCACACTCACTCACCACTACACTCACCACACTCACCACCACACACCACACTCACTCACCACACTCACCACCACTCACCACACACTCACCACACACTCACCACACACTCACCACACTCACCACCACACACTCACCACACACTCACCACACTCACCACCACTCACTCACCACCACTCACTCACCACACTCACCACACTCACTCACCACTACACTCACCACACTCACCACCACACACCACACTCACTCACCACACTCACCACCACTCACCACACACCCACCACACTCACCACTCACTCACCACACACTCACCACCACACTCACCACCACACTCACCACCACACACACTCACTTACCACTCACTCACCACCACACTCACTCACCACACACACCACACACTCACCACACACTCACCACACTCACCACCACTCACTCACCACACTCACCACCACACACTAACCACACTCACTCACCACACTTACCACTCACCACACTCACCACCACACAGACTCACCACACTCACAACACACTCACTCACCACACTCACCACACACTACACCACACTACACACACACCACACACACACACCACACACACACCACACACACCACACACACACACCACACACACACCACACACACACACACCACACACACCACACACACCACACACACCACACACACCACACACACACACCACACACACACACCACACACCACACACACCACACACACCACACACCACACTCACCACACACACCACACACACCACACACACCACACACACCACACACACACACCACACACACACACACACACCACACACACCACACACACACACACACACCACACACACACACCACACACACACCACACACACACCACACACACACACACCACACACACCACACACACACACACACCACACACTCACCACACACACACACCACACACACCACACACACACCACACACACACACCACACACACACCACACACCACACTCACCACACACACCACACACACACCACACACACACACCACACACACACCACAAACACCACACACACACCACACACACACACCACACACACACACCACACACACACCACACACACCACACACACACCACACACACACCACACACACCACACACACCACACACACACACCACACACACACCACACACACCACACACACACACACCACACACCACACACTCACCACACACCCCACACACACCACACACACACCACACACACACACCACAAACACCACACACACACCACACACACACACCACACACACACACCACACACACCACACACACACCACATACACCACACACACACCACACACTCACCACACACACACCACACACACACACACCACACACTCACCACACACACACACCACACACACACACACAACACACACACCACACACTCACCACACACACACACCACACACACACCACACACACACCACACACACACACCACACACACACACACAACACACACACCACACACACACCACACACACACACCACACACACCACACACACACCACATACACACCACACACACCACACACACACCACACACCACACACACACCACACACACCACACACACACCACACACACACACACCACGCACACCACACACACACCACACACACACACACCACACACACACACACACACACCACACACACCACACACACACCACACTCACCACACTACACTCACCACACACACTCACTACACTCACCACACTTACCACACACCACACCACACTCACCACACACACCACCACTCACCACACACCACACCACACTCACCACACACACTCACTACACTCACCACACTTACCACACACTCACTACACTCACCACACTCACCACACACTCACCACTCACTACACTCACCACACTCTCACCACACCACACCACACTCACCACACACTCACCACACCACACACTCACCACACTCTCACCACCACTCACTCACCACCACTCACTCACCACACACACCACACTCACCACACTCACCACACTCACCACCACTCACCACGGCTCCCCACTACAGAATGACACCATCATGGTGGTGGTGGTGGTAAAAACGTCTTGTTTATAACGAAATCAACATCGGATGGTGGTAGTGGAGGTGGTGCTAGTGATGGAGGTAGTGATGGTAGTGATGATGTTGGTGGTGATGTTGGTAGTGATGGTGGTGGTGGTAGTGGTGGTGGTAGTCGAGGTGGTGGTGATGTTGGTAGTGATGGAGGTAGTGATGGAGGTAGTGATGGTAGTGATGGAGGTAGTGATGGTAGTGGTAGTACTGGTGCTGTTAGTGATGGTGATGGTAGTGGTGGTGGTGATGGTGCTGTTAGTGATGGTGATGGTAGTGATGGTGATGGTGGTGGTAGTGATGGTGGTGGTGGTGATGGTAGTGGAGGTAGTGGTGGTGATGGTGGTGATGGTGATGATAGTGATGGTGTTGATGGTTGTGATGGTGGTGATGGTAGTGGTAGTGATGGTGGTAGTGGTAATGATGGTAGTGATGGTGATGGTAGTGATGGTTGTGATGGTGGTGATGGTGGTAGTGGTGGTGATGGTAGTGGTGAGGGTAGTGATGGTGGTGATGGTGGTGGTGGTGATGGTAGTGATGGTGGTGGTGGTGATGGTGGTGATGGTAGTGATGGTGATGGTGGTGGTAGTGATGGTGATGGTGGTAGTGATGGTGATGGTAGTGGTGATGGTGGTGGTAGTGATGTTGATGGTAGTGGTGGTGATGGTGGTGGTGGTGGTGATGGTGGTGGTTGTGATGGTAGTGATGGTGGTGATGGTAGTGATGGTGTTGATGGTAGTGGTGGTGATGGTAGTGGTAGTGATGATAGTGATGGTGATGGTAGTGATGGTGGTAGTGATGGTGGTGGTGATGGTGGTGATGGTAGTGGTAGTGATGGTGATGGTAGTGATGGTGATGGTGGTGGTTGTGATGGTGGTGGTTGTGATGGTGGTGGTGATGGTGGTGATGGTAGTGGTAGTGATGGTGATGGTAGTGATGGTGATGGTAGTGATGATAGTAGTGGTGATGGTAGTGATGGTAGTGATGATGGTAGTGGTGATGGTAGTGATGGTGGTGATGATGGTAGTGGTGATGGTAGTGATGGTAGTGATGATGGTAGTAATGATGGTAGTGATGATGGTAGTGATGGTAGTGATGGTGATGGTAGTGATGGTAGTGATGGTAGTGATGATGGTAGTGGTGATGGTAGTGATGGTAGTGGTGATGATGGTAGTGATGGTGATGGTAGTGATGGTAGTGATGATGGTAGTGATGGTAGTGATGATGGTAGTGGTGATGATGGTAGTGATGGTGATGGTAGTGATGGTAGTGATGATGGTAGTGGTGATGATGGTAGTGATGGTGATGGTAGTGATGGTGATGATGATGGTAGTGATGGTAGTGATGATGGTAGTGGTGATGATGGTAGTGATGGTGATGGTAGTGATGGTAGTGATGATGGTAGTGATGATGGTAGTGGTGATGATGGTAGTGATGGTAGTGATGATGGTAGTGGTGATGATAGTAGTGATGGTGATGATGGTAGTGAAAGTAGTGATGGTAGTGATGATGGTAGTGGTGATGGTAGTGATGGTGGTGATGATGGTAGTGGTGATGGTAGTGATGGTAGTGATGATGGTAGTGATGGTAGTGATGATGGTAGTGATGGTAGTGATGGTGATGGTAGTGATGGTAGTGATGATGGTAGTGGTGATGGTAGTGATGGTAGTGGTGATGATGGTAGTGATGGTGATGGTAGTGATGGTAGTGATGATGGTAGTGGTGATGATGGTAGTGATGGTGATGGTAGTGATGGTGATGATGATGGTAGTGATGGTAGTGGTGATGATGGTAGTGATGGTGATGGTAGTGATGGTAGTGATGATGGTAGTGGTGATGATGGTAGTGATGGTGATGGTAGTGATGGTAGTGATGATGGTAGTGGTGATGATGGTAGTGATGGTAGTGATGATGGTAGTGGTGATGATAGTAGTGATGATAGTGATGATGGTAGTGGTGATGGTAGTGATGGTAGTGGTGATGATGGTAGTGATGGTGATGGTAGTGATGGTAGTGATGATGGTAGTGGTGATGATGGTAGTGATGGTGATGGTAGTGGTAGTGATGGTAGTGATGATGGTAGTGGTGATGATAGTAGTGATGGTAGTGAAAGTAGTGATGGTAGTGATGATGGTAGTGATGGTGATGGTAGTGATGGTAGTGATGATGGTAGTGATGGTAGTGATGATGGTAGTGATGGTAGTGATGGTGATGATGGTAGTGATGGTGGTGGTTGTGATGGTGGTTGTGATGGTGGTGGTAGTGATAGTGATGGTAGTGATGTTAGTGATGGTGGTGATGATGGTAGTGATGGTAGTGATGTTGTTGATGGTTCCCCGGTTCCATTTCCCCTCCGTGCCATCAGCCACAAAGAGCCTCGCATCATCTTTGGTTCTTTCGGTAAAGTCACCACCGCGTAGAATGATAATACAATAACAAATCGATAAAATAAAACAGTAATATTCTCTCGACGTTTTCGGCCACAACACCTGATGAAGGCCGCGTTAGGGGGTCCATAGCCTGGACCTGACAGAGCAGCCGGAGGGTTAGCGGTGTCAGTGCAACCGGGGAGAGTCGGTGGGCAACGGGCCCAGACAATTCAGTGACGGCGGGGGACGGTAGACCCCACTCCTGATGAAGGCCGCTTGTGTTGTGGCCGAAACGTCGTGAGAATATTATTATTATTATTATCGTGTTATTTTATTTTATCAATTTTATTTTTTATGTCATTCTCGTTCCACGTGGTGGTGACTTTACCGAAAGAGCCAAAGAAGAGGAATCTCTTGCAGTCACGAAAGCTTCAAATCGAAAGGGCCTCACAGCTCTTCAGATTTCTCCAGTGGACAAGATTCTCACTTCCTGTCGACGTCACTTCCTGTCCCTCTGTGTCACTTCCTGTCCATCTGTGTCACTTCCTGTCCCTGTCACTTCCTGTCCCTCTGTCGATGTCACTTCCTGTCCCTCTGTGTCACTTCCTGTCCCCCTGTTCAACGTCACTTCCTGTCCCTCCCGTGTGACATCACTTCCTGTCCCTCTGTTTTAACGTCACTTCCTGTCCATCTGTCGGCGTCACTTCCTGTCCCCGCGTGTCACTTCCTCCTCTTGCCCCCCCCCCCGCGTGTCACTTCCTGCCCCTGCGTGTCACTTCCTGTCCCTCTGCGTCACTTCCTGTCCCTCTGTGTTGACGCCACTTCCTGTCCCCTCGTGTCACTTCCTGTCCCTCTGTCCACGTCACTTCCTGTCCCTCTGCGTCACTTCCTGTCCCCCTGTGTCGACGTCACTTCCTGTCCCCGCACGTCACTTCCTCCTCTTGCCCCGCGCACGTGTCACTTCCTGTCCCTCTGTCGACGTCACTTCCTGTCCCCCTGTGTCGACGTCACTTCCTGTCCCCGCGCGTGTCACTTCCTCCTCTTGCCCCGCCCACGCGTCTCGCGCCGCCGCTGTGTGACCGGGTTTCGGGGGTCGCTGATGTGGAAGGCGTCAACGTCGGACGACAAGTTGGGGTCACGGGCCCGGGACACCAGAGAGCCAGCGGCTGGGTCGGCGAAGCGGAGACAGTGTCCCATCCTGAGACACAGAGAGACACACAGAGACACAGGGAGAGACAGGGGGACACAGTGAGACACAGTGAGACACAGGGAGACAAGTTGGGGTCACGGGCCCGGGACACCAGAGAGCCAGCGGCTGGGTCGGCGAAGCGGAGACAGTGTCCCATCCTGAGACACAGAGACACAGGGAGACAGAGACACACAGTGAGACACAGTGAGATACACACAGAGACACAGGGAGACAGAGACACAGTGAGAGACACAGAGAGACAAGTTGGGGTCACGGGCCCTGGAGACCAGAGAGCCAGCGGCTGGGTCGGCGAAGCGGAGACAGTGTCCCATCCTGAGACACACAGAGAGACACAGGGAGACAGGGAGAGACAGGGGGACACAGTGAGACACAGAGAGACACAGGGAGACAGAGACACAGTGAGACACAGTGAGAGACACACAGAGACACAGGGAGACAGAGACACAGTGAGAGACACAGAGAGACAAGTTGGGGTCACGGGCCCTGGAGACCAGAGAGCCAGCGGCTGGGTCGGCGAAGCGGAGACAGTGTCCCATCCTGAGACACACAGGGAGAGACACACAGAGACAGAGACACAGGGAGACAGAGACACAGTGAGAGACACAGTGAGACAAGTTGGGGTCACGGGCCCGGGACACCAGCGAGCCAGCGGCTGGGTCGGCGAAGCGGAGACAGTGTCCCATCCTGAGACACAGAGAGAGACACACAGAGACACAGGGAGACAGAAACACAGTGAGAGACACAGAGAGACAAGTTGGGGTCACGGGCCCTGGAGACCAGAGAGCCCGCGGCTGGGTCGGCGAAGCGGAGACAGTGTCCCATCCTGAGACACAGAGAGACACAGGGAGACAGAGACACACAGAGACACAGTGAGACAAGTTGGGGTCACGGGCCCTGGAGACCAGAGAGCCAGCGGCTGGGTCGGCGAAGCGGAGACAGTGTCCCATCCTGAGACACACAGAGACACACAGTGAGACACAGAGACACAGGGAGACAGAGACACAGGGAGACACAGAGAGACAAGTTGGGGTCACGGGCCCTGGAGACCAGAGAGCCAGCGGCTGGGTCGGCGAAGCGGAGACAGTGTCCCATCCTGAGACACAGAGAGACACAGGGAGACAGGGAGAGACAGGGGGACACAGTGAGACACAGTGAGACACAGGGAGACAAGTTGGGGTCACGGGCCCTGGAGACCAGAGAGCCAGCGGCTGGGTCGGCGAAGCGGAGACAGTGTCCCATCCTGAGACACAGAGAGAGACACAGGGAGACAGGGAGAGACAGGGGGACACAGTGAGACACACAGAGACACAGGGAGACAGAGACACAGTGAGACACAGTGAGAGACACACAGAGACACAGGGAGACAGAGACACAGTGAGAGACACAGGGAGACAAGTTGGGGTCACGGGCCCGGGACACCAGCGAGCCAGCGGCTGGGTCGGCAAAGCGGAGACAGTGTCCCATCCTGAGACACAGAGAGAGACAGAGTCACAGTGAGAGACACAGGGAGACAGAGACACAGTGAGACACACAGAGAGACAAGTTGGGGTCACGGGCCCTGGACACCAGAGAGCCAGCGGCTGGGTCGGCAAAGCGGAGACAGTGTCCCATCCTGAGACACAGAGACAGACACAGGGAGACAGGGAGAGACAGGGGGACACAGTGAGACACACAGAGACACAGGGAGACACACAGAGACACAGGGAGAGACACACAGAGACACAGGGAGACACACAGAGACACACACAGAGACACACACAGAGACACAGGGAGAGACACACAGAGACACAGTGAGACACAGTGAGACACAGGGAGACAGAGACACAGTGAGAGACACAGAGAGACAAGTTGGGGTCACGGGCCCTGGAGACCAGAGAGCCAGCGGCTGGGTCGGCGAAGCGGAGACAGTGTCCCATCCTGAGACACAGAGAGAGACACACAGAGACACAGGGAGAGACAGGGGGACACAGTGAGACACAGAGAGACACAGGGACACAGTGAGAGACACAGTGAGAGACACAGACACAGAGACACAGTGAGACAAGTTGGGGTCACGGGCCCTGGAGACCAGAGAGCCCGCGGCAGCGTCCGCAAAGCGGAGACAGTGTCCCATCCTGAGACACACAGGGAGACACACAGAGACACAGAGACACAGGGATGATGATAATGATGATACTACTACTGATGATGATACTACTAATGATGATGATGATGATACTACTACTGATGATGATGATGATACTACTACTGATGATGATACTACTAATGATGATGATGATGATACTGATGATGATGATGATACTACTAATGATGATGATGATGATACTGATGATGATGATACTACTACTGATGATGATACTACTAATGATGATGATACTGATGATACTACTACTGATGATGATCATGATGATGATACTACTGATGATGATGATGATGATACTGATGATGATGATGATACTACTACTGATGATGATCATGATGATGATGATACTAGTGATGATGATGATACTGATGATGATGATGATGATACTACTGATGATGATGATACTACTACTGATGATGATGATACTGATGATGATGATACTGATGATGATGATGACTCACCATCCGGAGTCATCGTCTGTCTCCGCTGTCTCCGCTGTCTCCTCCGTGTCTCCGGACAGCCGAGCGGCCGAGAGGTGAGACTGGAACTTGGTGAGCAGAGCGAGCGTCTGAGACACACAGAGACACACAGAGACACACACAGAGACACACACACAGAGACACACACAGAGACACACACACAGAGACACACAGAGACACACACAGAGACACACACAGAGACTCACACAGAGACACAGAGAGACACACACAGAGACACACACACAGAGACACACACAGAGACACACACAGAGACACACACACAGAGACTCACACAGAGACACAGAGACTCACACAGAGACTCACACAGAGACACACACAGAGACACACACAGAGACACTCACACAGAGACACACACAGAGACACACACAGAGACACACACAGAGACACTCACACAGAGACACACACAGAGACACACACAGAGACACAGAGACTCACACAGAGACTCACACAGAGACACACACAGAGACACAGAGACACACAGAGACTCACACAGAGACTCACACAGAGACTCACACAGAGACACACACACAGACACACACAGAGAGACACACAGAGACACACACAGAGCCACACACAGAGACTCACACAGAGACACAGAGACTCACACAGAGACACACACAGAGACACACACAGAGACACACACAGAGACACACACAGAGACACAGACAGAGACACACACAGAGACCCACACAGAGACCCACACAGAGACACACACAGAGACACACACAGAGACTCACACAGAGACACACACAGAGACACACACAGATACACACACACAGAGACACACACAGACTCACACAGAGACACACACAGAGACACACACAGAGACACACACAGAGACACACACAGACACACACAGAGACACACACAGAGACTCACACAGGGACACACACAGAGACACACACAGAGACTCACACAGAGACTCACACAGAGACTCACACAGAGACAAACACAGAGACACACACAGAGCCACACACAGAGACACTCACACAGAGACACACACAGAGACACACACAGAGACACAGTGAGACACACACAGAGACTCACACAGAGACACACACAGAGACACACACAGAGACTCACAGAGAGACTCACACAGAGACACACACAGAGACTCACACAGAGACACACACAGAGACACACACAGAGACTCACACAGAGACTCACACAGAGACACACACAGAGACACACACAGAGACTCACACACAGAGACACACAGAAACACACACAGAGACACACAGAGACACACAGAGACACACACAGAGACACACACAGAGACACACAGAGACACACAGAGACACACACAGAGACACACACAGAGACACACACAGAGACACACAGAGACTCACACACAGACACAGAGACACACACAGAGACTCACACAGAGACACAGAGACACACACAGAGACACAGAGATACACACAGAGACACACACAGAGACACACACAGAGACTCACACAGAGACACACACAGAGACACACACAGAGACACACACAGAGACTCACGGAGAGACACACACAGAGACTCACACAGAGACTCACACAGAGACTCACACAGAGACACACACACAGACACACACAGAGACACACACAGAGACTCACACAGAGACACACACAGAGACACACACAGAGACACAGAGACACACACAGAGACACTCACAGAGACTCACACAGAGACTCACACAGAGAGACAGACACACACACAGAGACACTCACAGAGACTCACACAGAGACACACACAGAGACTCACACAGAGACACAGAGACACACAGAGACACACAGAGACACAGAGACACAGAGACACACAGAGAGACACACACAGAGACACACAGAAACACTCACACAGAGACACACACAGAGACACACACAGAGACACACACAGAGACTCACACAGAGACTCACACAGAGACTCACACAGAGACACACACAGAGACACACACAGAGACACAAACAGAGACACACACAGAGACACACACAGAGACACACACAGAGACACACACAGAGACACACACAGAGACTCACACAGAGACACACACAGAGACACACACAGAGACACACACAGAAACACTCACACAGAGACACACACAGAGACACACACAGAGACACACACAGAGACACACACAGAGACACACACAGAGACTCACACAGAGACTCACACAGAGACTCACACAGAGACACACACAGAGACACACACAGAGACACAAACAGAGACACACACAGAGACACACACAGAGACACACACAGAGACACACACAGAGACACACACAGAGACTCACACAGAGACACACACAGAGACACACACAGAGACACACACAGAAACACTCACACAGAGACACACACAGAGACACACACAGAGACACACACAGAGACACACACAGAGACTCACACAGAGACACAGAGACTCACACAGAGACTCAAACAGAGACACACACAGAGACACACACAGAGACTCACACAGAGACACACACAGAGACACACACAGAGACACACACAGAGACACAGAGACTCACACAGAGACTCACACAGAGACACACACAGAGACACACACAGAGACACACACAGAGACACACACAGACACACACACACAGAGACACACACAGAGACACACACAGAGAGACACACACAGAGACACACAGAGACACACAGAGACTCACACAGAGACACACACAGAGACTCACACAGAGACTCACACAGAGACTCACACAGAGAGACACACACAGAGACACTCACAGAGACACACACAGAGACACACACAGAGACACACACAGAGACACACACAGAGACTCACACAGAGACACACACAGAGACACACACAGAGACTCACACAGAGACACACACAGAGACACACACAGAGACACACACAGAGACACACACAGAGACTCACACAGAGACACACACAGAGACACACACAGAGACACACACAGAGACACACACAGAGACACACACAGACACACACAGAGACTCACACACAGGGTTCACCCGCCAGGGGACAGGGGTCACGCCTCTGGGGTCAAGGGTTACCCCTCAGGGGTCACCCCTCAGGGGTCAGGGGTCACCCCTCACCTGCTCCTCCCTGGCTTTGCCCTTGTGACCTTTGACCCGGCGAGTGCCCTCAAAGAGGGCACGTTGCTTCAGGAACGTGGCAACATCACCATCACCGCCATCACCATCACCATCATTCTACACGTGAGACATCACCACCATCATCACCATCACCATCACTCTACACGTGAGACATCACCACCATCATCACCATCACCATCACTCTACACGTGAGACATCATCACCATCATCACCATCACCATCACTCTACACGTGAGACATCACCACCATCATCACCATCACCATCATTCTACACGTGAGACATCACCACCATCATCACCATCACCATCACTCTACACGTGAGACATCATCACCATCATCACCATCACCATCACTCTACACGTGAGACATCATCACCATCACCGCCATCATCACCATCACCATCACCGCCATCATCACCATCACCATCACCGCCATCACCACCGCCATCATTCTACACGTGAGACATCACCATCATCACCATCACCGCCATCACCACCGCCATCACTCTACACGTGAGACACCATCATCACCATCATCACCATCATTACCATCACCGCCATCACCACCGCCATCACTCTACACGTGAGACACCATCATCACCATCATCACCATCATTACCATCACCGCCATCACCACCGCCATCACTCTACACGTGAGACATCACCACCGCCATCATCACCATCATCACCATCACCGCCATCATCACCATCATCACCATCATCACCATCACCGCCATCACTCTACACGTGAGACACCATCATCACCATCATCACCATCATCACCATCACCGCCATCACCACCACCATCATTCTACACGTGAGACACCATCATCACCATCATCACCATCATCACCATCACCGCCATCACTCTACACGTGAGACACCATCATCACCATCATCACCATCATCACCATCACCGCCATCACCATCACCGCCATCATCACCGCCATCACCATCACCGCCATCATCGCCGCCATCACCATCATCATCACCACCGCCATCATTCTACACGTGAGACATCATCACCGCCATCATCACCGCCATCGCCATCATCATTCTACACGTGAGACATCATCACCATCACCATCACCGCCATCATCACCATCACCGCCATCGCCATCACCATCATCACTCTACACGTGAGACA